AGATGACTAAAAACTGAAGAGTTTCTCTCCCATTCATAGTTCCGATGCTGTCTGTAAGGGGTGGTAAGAGTTCAGGAATCATCAGGAAATTTATTTCAGTAAATCGTGATCGAGGAATTGTGAAATGATAGATCGACAGACTCATTCATTCATTCATTTATTTCAAATTCAGTAAATCCAAAACATAGGTTGAAATACAACCCTGGATATAGAACATGTCAATAATAATATTAAAATAAGTTCCAAACATTGAAACAGTCAAGATAAACAATAAAAACGATATAAAATAGTACACAGTGTAATAACAATTTCATTAAATACAAACAGATTAAAACAAAGAATTTAAATTATCAGTAGCATGAATCTTCTATATACAATTCCACCCAAAATATATTAAGTACAAAAGATTATTATGCGCTTTAGTTTCAAGATAAATATAAGCAATAAATATAACGCCTCACATACCAGTTAAATATCATATATACCTGTCACAGTCATACAATAATCTGAAATCATTTACATAATTTAATGTAATCGTGTGTTAAAAAATAAATTATTAATAAAGTATTATAAAAATATTCATCGGGAAGTAGTTTGGTAAAATTCATCAATGCTATAAAATGCATGTTCAGTGAGATATCTTCTCAATAAAAATTTGAACTTCTTAATTTCTCCAGATGATGATTTAATATTCAAAGGTAATTTATTATACAATTTGCTTCCAGAGAACAGGACTCCTTTTTGTGCAATTGATAAATTTGTAAAGGGTAAGTGTAAATTGTAATTATAACGGGTATTAATATTATGTATTTCTGTATTAAATTTGAAATAATTTTTATTCTTAATAACAAAGAGAAGCAAAGAAAAAATATATTCAGATTGGAGTGGCAATATTTGTAACTTTTTAAACAATTCCCTACAAGAATCATATTTTCCTGATCCAGACATAATTCTTATGATTCTTTTTTGTATTTTAAAAATGTTCTTACTAAAAGGGGCATTACCCCAAAAGATAATGCCATACTTCAATATTGAATGCACATAAGAGTGATAAATCGTCTTTATTGTATCCAATGACATAAAGGGTTTTATTGCCCTTATTGCAAAACATGCTTTGCTTAGTCTTACTGATAATAAAGTTAAGTGATTTTTCCATGACAATGAACTATCTATATTTATTCCCAAAAACTTTGAACAATTAATATTTGTAATTAATGTATTAGTAATTGTACTTTGGATTTCTATTTCTCTATGCTTCTTTAGGAAAAATTGTAAAAACTGTGTTTTATCACAATTTAGAGTTAAAAAGTTTTTTTTAAACCATATCATTGCTTCATTAAAAATTAAGGTAACATTACTTCTAAATTTTTCAGGATTCAAATTAGATACAATAATACTTGTGTCATCAGCAAATAATACAGGCTGAGCTAGTTTTCTTAAGGAAGATGGGAAATCATTAATGTAAATAAGAAATAATAGTGGTCCCAGTACAGAGCCTTGTGGCACTCCATGTTTGACCATCATCCATTTAGAGGATACTTTATTCAAATTATTATCATTTATAATCGTTCTTTGATATCTATTTTCAAGGTATGATTTCATTAGTTTTATTGCTGAACCCGAGATTCCATAAAATTTCAATTTTTCCAGTAAGACATTGTGATTTACACAATCAAAAGCCTTTTGTAAATCACAAAATAATCCACCCACATATTCTTTTTTGTCCAAAGAAGTTAATATATTATCTAAAAGATTATATGTTGCCATTTCAGTAGATGATTCTTTTCTAAATCCAAACTGTTCCTTGGCCAATATATTATTCCTATTTAAATGAGAATAAATTCTTCTATAAATAATCTTTTCAATGATTTTAGAGAAAGTTGGAAGAAGTGAGATTGGCCTATAGTTAGAGATTTCAGTTTTATCACCCTTTTTATAGAGAGGCTTAACTTCAGAAAACTTAAGCCTATCTGGGAAAATACCAGTTAATAGTATCTTATTACATAGATATGTTAGGGGAGACAGGATATACGGGGCACTAGATTTCATAATCTTCAATGATATTTCATCATAGCCATGAGAATTCTTCGGTTTCATTGACAATATTATTTTTTTAATTTCATAAGAATTAGTATTACTAAAGTTCATTTTTGGAAATAACTGGTGTGAATTTTGATGTAAATAATATAAAAAATCCTTATTATTATCAGGAGATTGTTTATAAAATTTATTGTTGAGTAATTTTTCAGCTATAGATGAAAAGTAATTATTAAAAGTTTCTGCAATATCAATTGGATTTTCTGACAATTTATCATTTGTTTTTATCTTAATTATATTATCAACAGATCCTTTTTTGTTTGTAATAGTTTTCACAATATTCCATGTAGTTTTAGTCTTGTTATTAGATTTTAGTATAAGTGTATTATAATATAATTTTTTGGCTGCCACTATAACCCTAGTTAAGATTCTACAATACTTTTTAAAGTGTTCTTTGATATTAGGATTGCTACTGCTTCTGGAAACAAGATACAGTGTTCTTTTATTTGCACATGAAACTTTAATACCGGATGTTACCCATGGTTTCTGTGCATGTGGATATCGAAAATTTTTTATGGGAAAACATGAATAAAAAATTCTAAGAAATATGTTCAAAAATTTATTGAAAGCTATATTCACATTAGATTCCAAAAAAACCTCTTCCCAATTTTCATAACTTAATAAAAACTTAAATTGATCTATAGAATAGCTATTAATATCTCTTTTTTGGTAAAATATCTGTTTATGGGCTGTGACAGTGATATTATTAAAAACAATGACCTGAGCATCATGGTCAGACATACCATTTATAAGTGGATAAACAGAAAATTCATGAAAATCGCTATTAATATAGACATTATCTATTAAAGTACAAGAATTATGAGAAATTCTAGTCGGAAAATTAACTATACTACAGAGATTAAAAGAAGCAAGGAGTGAGTTTAAACAATCTTTCCTAGTGTTATCATTTAAATAATTTACATTGAAATCACCACATAAAATTATCTCATTTGTAGGATTATATATCTTATTTAGTAATGATTCCAGCTGATTTAAAAAATATAAAAAATCTCCCACAGGGGATCTATAAATACAAATGATAATAATATTTTTGGACATAAATTTAAATTTTAAAGCACAAGTTTCTATATCTTTTTCTTTATTATATTGATCTAAATTAATACTATTAAATTGAATTTTTTTTTGAATAAGAATACATACTCCTCCATGACTATAAATTTGTCTACAAAAGGAATTACCTATAATATATTGATTAAAATTTACATTTTCTATCTCAGTTGATTTCATGTGATGTTCAGATATGCAAATGATTTGAGGTGTAATATCCGTTAGAGAGATTAAGATTTCGTCAACTTTGTTCTTAATTCCCCGAATATTTTGATGTATAATAGTTAATTTGTTTTTAGCTGAATTTAATTGGTTGCCCATAAAAAATCATTTGATCTCGTAATAGGTGGCTTTCTAGATCTAGTAGATACTCTCGAATTATCTAATATAACTTTAGATGTACATGATCTAGCAGGGTCCATTCTCAAATTATCTAATATAACTGCAGATGCACATGATCTAGCAGGGTCCACAGTATCAGCCACAGAAATAGGATATTGATTAACCCTATCCCAGGGTAACGTTATTACATTGTTAACCTGTCTAATCAACTGTTCATTTATACACTGTCCGATAGTTTTTGCCACATTCTCTTTCCCTTTGGAATTCAGGTGCATTCCATGACGGGTAAAGTCTTCCCTATTTAAAGCGATATCTAGCAATTTTACATGTGACATAAATTTGGTCAATTTTCTTAATTTTCTATTGAAAGTCTGGATTTCCCTGTTGATGCAAGAAGACTTTTCCAGATCATGTCTATGCAGAGCCGGTACTAAAATAATATTAGTGTATTGGTGCTGTAATACAAAATTAGTGATGAGTTTTAGGCCTTTTGTGGCTTCATTTTTATTAATATCATTAGATCCTCCACAGATAACGACAGAATCCTTGAAATTCATTTCACTAATTTCCTTGTAGGCGGCTTGGGTTATATTCAAAAGTCCTGCACCGGGCATCACTTTGCCCATAACCTCAAAAGATTCATCAGACATATGTAACAAATTAGCAGCACAGCCTCTTATGTGACTATCACCAATTATCATGATTTTCTTTGATGCACGTCTAACATTAGACTTTACATGCTTGACCTTTGGTTTTCGTTCGATGTTACAAAAAGACGGTGCTAAAATATCATCGTCTATATTCTCAGCCATTACGTAACGATTTACCACAATTGGAATCTTGAACTGTTGAGGTGTGATCGTATCAATTTTTGGATGACTTTTACCATGAGGAACAATATTCCAGTCAGATGAATAAAAAGCGTCACAAGACGTAGTAGACGTTGAATTTATCTTATTAGCAGGCTTAGGAATAACGCTGTCCACCCTACATGAAAACTGTTCTTGATCCTCTTTTAACACTTTCATTATTTCCATAACAGATTTTAATTCACAACGAACCCTTTGCAGTTCATCTCTCAGTTCCACACAGCATAAACATGTCAAATTAACATTATCCCTAAAATTTCCGACTTTTTTCTTAGCACCATTAGACTCAACACTCTTAACGGACGCCATCTTGGACATACATTCTGGACTAGCACCAGGGAAAGCGCCCACCGGTACCCATTCAATAGGATGTTGGGTGGACCCAATTGGCTGTCTTAATGATGTGAAAGGGAAATTTTTGTTCCAACAGGGACTCGAAATCTGACCTTTTGGCCGTCCAGGCCGTAGCTAGTCGCTATCCTAGCCTACAATACGGGAGTGGTACGCTATTAAATTATACCTTTCCAACGTGAATTTTGTGTCAACCATGAATTCTCACCGAACTATACTTGTGGGGAAAATAATTAACAGGTATGATATTTATTTTGTGATCCGTGCATTATATGTTGGCAACCGTGGTTGGGAAGGTGTAAGGTTTGTAAGTGGTAATTGACGCCAATATTGTGTATTGTAATTGTGTGTGAAATGTATGTTCGAATGACGTAATTTTCGGCAATATGACTTCAGACAAAGAACAAGGTGACACTGAGCTTATTTTCGTAAGTATAATTTGTTAGCTCATGTTGTTATGTTCAATTCAATTCAATTTTATTTCATCCATGAATCGTTATACATGATATGGGACAAGTCAAAGATTAATATTAATACTAATACTAAATAGTAATAAGAATATAATAATACAGAAATAGTATGCCAAATTATAATAAATGATAATAATATAGTAATACGGGGATAATAATATGACAGTATAATTAGTCTTGAAAACAGTTTCTGTGGTCTTAAATCCTCCATATGTCCTATTGTACCTTTACTGGTTGTAATGCCTATGGAGATTTGATGGAATGAGGATTGGCAGGGGAAACCAAAGTACTCGGGGAAAACCTGCCCCAGCGCCACTTTGTCCATCACAAATCCCACATGACTTGATCGCAGCGGTGGGAAGCCAGCGACTAACCGCTTAAGCTGTGGCACGGCCATTCAATTCAATATGACAATATAATAATAAATGACTATAATAATTTAGCAATCTTGAAGGCAGTTTCTGTGGTCTTGAATCTTCTTTAAGATGGCACTAGGCAGATAATTCCCAGAAGCAGTCACGAAGTGTTATTTCCTGGAGAGAGAATTGAACTGAGCAGTAAGCATTCTCATGACTTATATTATCCAACACAATGAGGCTAATTTATTCTTGGTATATATAATTTAGACTGACTAAAACTCTTTTCTAACAAATAAAATACTCACCTACACTGTAAAAATAATAAATGAACTGAGCGGTAAGCGTTCTTATGACTTGTATTATTCAATACTATGAGGCTAACTGATTCTTTGAATCTTGGAATATATAATTTAGTCTAACTAGAACTCTTTTCTAAAGAAGTAAGACATTCGTCTACACTGTAAAAGCAATGATCAAACAGGAAATTTTTCAAAGCTTTCTTGAATCTGTATAGAGCTGGTATCTCCTTAATGTAATATGGTAAATGATTGTACATACGAAGTCCAGTATTAATAAAATTGTCTTTGCATAAACTGGTATTACATGAAACAATATATAGGTCATCTTTTCCCCTTGTATTATATGAATGTATTTCTGAATTGGTTGCAAGAGTCTTCAAGTTTGATTTTGTGTATACCAGCGTTTCATAAATATACAAGCATGGTAGGGGCAATATATTTAAATAATTAAAATACTGTTTACAACTAGTAGTTTTCTGAATTTGCATCATAGCTCTAATAGCTCTCTTTTGCAACTTAAAAATCAATTTAGCATTTGGTGAGTTGCCCCAAAATAATATTCCATATGATAACAAAGAATGAAAGTAGGCATAATATAGAGTCCTAACAGACTCCAGCCCTGATACTCTTTTTACTACTCTTAGACCAAAGCATATTTTACATAACTTTTTTGCTAGTTCCTGGGTGTGCATAGACCACCTTAAATTCTTATCTAGCCAAACTCCCAGAAATTTTGAATATTCTGAATATTTAATGGCTGCATCATGAAACTTTATTGGAGGGCATTGAAAATGTAGGTTTATTCATTTGGTTAAATTACGCTTTCAGTGGTTAAATCAGTTTCCCCTGTTAGGGGAGATTCGCTTTGAGTCTGGACAACTCAGTATAGTGACAGGCCTCTGATCTGGATAGCTGGGGTTCAATTTATGGCAGATGCGGGAATTTTTCTGTTGTTCGCAGTAGCCGTGCTGATTATGGGGTCAAGCATGTCTTTATGCACTGGGTACATGGGATCATTCCCTTGGGGAAAAGTGGTAGGGGCATGAAGCTGTTCACTCACGTCTGTCTAGTGCTGAGGTCATGAATGCGTGAAGCTGTAGCGTTACTTCTCTGTACGTATAGTATGGGCCTATTGAAGCACAAGGACAGCTTTAGCTATATCATACATGAGGTGTACTTGATTCTCTTTGGTTTGAAACCATCGTTGAGTATCCTCAGTTTTCTTGCAGAGATGGCTTCTGTATGGGTAGGACTGTGCATAGTTCAGGTTATGTTATGTTATGTTATGTCTGAACAAGTCAACAAACCCCATGCAGAGTTAGCAGAAGATGGATATATAAGCTGTATTACCATCATCACTCTTATTGCTTTTATGTGAACATTTTCACTGTTAATGTACCCTGAAGCTGATGGTTGAGTACAGTGAAGGCTGGTCTCTCACACTAAGATTTAAGGTGTTTGGAAGCAAAATGGTGAGGAGAATATTTATTTGGTCTTAGGAAGGAAGAGGTAATGGCATGAGGAACATTATTTATATTATTTACCAGATATTGTTAGTGTGATCAAGGTGGGAACATGCAGCATTCATGAAAAAATCAGGACTGTTAAATTTTCTTGTTGGAAAACCTAAAAGGAAGAGATGACTTGGGAGACTCAGGCATAGATGGGACTTGATATTATGTAAATTAAATTAATCTTAAAAGAAATAAGTTTATGAGTTGGATTCATTTGGCTTGGGATGGGATCCATTGATATTATGTTGTGAGGGTAATTAATCTTCATATTCCATAGAAAGTTGAGAATTTATTGACCAGTTGAGTAAACTGTCACTTTCTTGTGAAGCGTCGTTTTCCATGGGGTTGTTTGGTTTGATTTTCTTGTTATCTCTTAGTGTCACTGTAGATTGATTGTCTAGTAGCTTCATATGTGCTTACTTTTAACTGCTTGAGAGAAACTGTAGCACTAGTTGACTGCCATTCAGACTGCAGGATCACAAATGGAGCTAGTTCTTGCACAGTAACAAATCATCATTATTTATATCTGTGTTGTGAGGAGAATGTAATGTGTACTAGTTGGGAGTTGAGTGGTCAGCTTCCCGCTCAGGTCGCTCTACTTCCGGAGAAAAGGTCCCTGGTACACAATGGGTAGGAGGCTGATGTTGTGTATTTATGTGTGGTTTTTTATGGGTGTGAAACTTGCTCTCTGAAATGAAGGGAAGAATTTAGACTGAGGGTGCTTGAGAACAGGGTGTTGAGGGGAATATTTGGACCGAAGAGAGACGAAGTGACGGGAGGTTGGAGAAAACTGCATAATGAGGTGCTTCATAACTTGTACTCTTCTCCAAGTATAATTAGAATGATCAGGATAAGAAGGATGAGATGAGCAGGTCATGTAGCATGCATGGGGGAAGAAGAGGATTGCATGTAGAATTTCGCTAGAAAGACCGAGATATAGGTGGGAAGATGATGTTGAAATGAACCTTAGAAAGATAGGATGGGTTGGTATAAACTGGAGTAATCTGGCTCAGGCTAAAGACCTGTAGAGGGCTCTTATGAAGACAGTAATGACTTTTCGGGTACCATAAAATATTGTGAAATTCATGAGTAGCTGAGTGACTGGCAACTTTATTCAGTTGCTCTGTTTCGACAGGCACGCAATATGGAATACAAAGACCCAATTGAAGAGGAATGGGAGATATTTCAGAAAGAAATGAAGGAGCAGTCCACAGTATCTGCACAGAGCATTGCTAAAGATCATGAAGAAGCCACAGCAGAAAGGCATATCGATGAGATTGACGAAGAGATGCAGAACTGGTCCAGGTAAAAGAATTATTTTATGTGAGGAAACCAAACAGGGAACTGAAGGAGGAAGTCGGTAATAACAAAACATATGTTGATGCATGACTTACTTATGGAATTATCTGTGTTATTTATATCTTAAATGGTCGCACCATAGCTCAAGCAGATAGTCGCTGGCTTCCCATCACAGTGGCCTGGGTTTGATCCTGGGTCTGGTCAAGTGGGATTTGTGGTGGACAAAGTGGTGCTGATGCGGGTTTTCTCCGAGTACTTCGATTCCCCCTGCCAATCTTCATTCCATCAAATATTCTGTCATCATAATCTCCCAGGGCAGGCTACAATAGGCCAATCAGTGGCTGCCATGCTGAGTAGACCCAGTTGGACTCCACCCCCCATTAAGCGAATTTATAAAAAAATATCTATTTTACAGAGTGCTGGACCTGGAGAATGAGATAAAAGCAGTGAAAGCCGCAAAGAGAAGAAGCAATGCTGGTGATGATGACCTTGAAGTGTCTAGTGCAGATGAAGCTGAATTTGATGAGTACCTAGACTGGAGAGCAAAGAAGTCATATGGATAATAAATTTATGGAATTCATGTCCCACAGAAGAAACAAGCCATTGCAAAGTGAAAGACATTTGTTTCATATTGTAGACTTAAATAGCACATAATATATTTTCTGGTGTTATGTCATGTAAATATTTGTTAAAATACAAAGATTGTACAGTAACTGTATTATAAACGAGTTTTTCGTTTTTTTAAGCCAAAAAGTAATCTCAAGAAATGTTGACAGTACCATTGGTTCTCTAAGATTGGGAAGCATCAGTTATCTCTGCTAACCTTTGGTGAGCGTTCATTGGAAGTTCTGAAGAAGGCTATGAAAGAAAGGAAGAAATTGTCTTTTATCATGAATATTTAACAGAATGGAGTGTTATCACATTGCTGTAAGTATCTGTACAGTCTCTCACTATATATATATATATATATATATAGGAGGAATGGACCAAACTTCGGGAGGGTGTTCCT